CTCTCTCTCTCTCTCTCTCTCTCTCTCTCTCTCTCACTGGGGATTGAACTCAGGACCCTGCACTTGCCAGGCAAGCGCTTATTCTACTGAACTGTGTCCTTGCCCTCCATGCTTTCTCTGTAATCCTCTTCATGGTCACACTTACCTTGTGAGCAGAATGGTCCATCATATGCAGAAAAGGCACAGTCACAAGTGATCCCTCTGTGTTTTTCTCTACACCTTCCTCCATTGTGACACAGGTGTCCATAGCTGCTGCAGTGTCCTGCACACCCAGGCTCTACTCCTGGAGTCACAGTGGCTCTTGCTTCGAGGTCCAAGAACATCCCGTTCATCTGCATGGATCTAATGCATCCCACAAAGCCTCTCTGCCTGCTGGCTGTCCCCCCTACAATGGAAACACTGCAAATAGAAGTGGGTTCCTTGGTATTTTATTCAGGATTTTATGTTCAATCAAACTCAGGCCTTATGGAGAGTAGCAGAAAACAAATACAAATTGGCAAAAAATACTGTGAACATACAAAATTTGGAAAATACAAATTTTTATCAGATATTTCAACCTTAAATGACATTGACAAAAACATTGAATAATTTAAACATACTGAGATTGGCAAATATTCATTCTAAAATATTTCTTTCATGTTACAAAATTTAGATTATAATATTGTTTTACTCATGTTTATGAACAATGCTATACATTAGAAGGGTTATGTAAGAAGTTTAAAAACTGTCAGGGCCCGTAAGATAACTCAGCAAACTAACCACCTGCTTAGGCAAGTGCAGGGACTGGGGTTCAATCTCCAGCACCACATTCTGCTCCAGCCCCACCCCCTGGTGTGCTGAGTCAGCCACTGCGTCTGCGTGTGGTGGCACACACTTGTAATCCCAGAGCTGGGGAGGCTGAAAACAGAAGGATCACTGAGTCTGAGCTGCGTAGTGAGACCCTGTGCTAAATACATAAAAAAAGAGAAAATGTTTATAATAGTAAGAAAACATATACAGTGAAACCTTGTACTTAAATGAATTCTCCAAGCAGAAGAGGTTGAGAAGAAAAGAAAACACAACTGGAAGGGATAGACCCATCCCAGCTTCTCCAAGGTGTCCCCACACATCTACTCCTCTCTGAGGACACATTAACTACATGATACATGCATGTGTCTTTGCTATATCAAAGTACAGAAAGCTTTTAGAGAGTTGCAAGCACTTGTGCTGGGGTAAACGCTGTCACAAAGGTTAATGCTTTTTATTATGGTAGGAGCATAGGAATAAACTATGGAAAATGCAGATGCTTGAACCTCTCCTAGAAATTTTGCTTCAATGACCTAGACGACAGCCCCAAGTATGAATTTACAACCAGCTTCATGAATGATTCTGAAAAAATGCACCCCTTTAAACACACCAGTTTGATAAACTTTAATATAAATGTTTATTTCAAGTCAATTTTAATACTAATTTTGTCCCTGGGCTTTCCATTAAATAATGCTCAGGATGTAAATGAGAAAATAATGTTCCTTAAGCTGACTCATGCTAAAGTTTGGTTCTAGA